CCACCCCCAACTGCCCCACGCTGAGCAAACCACTCACGGAGCTCCTGAGACGAAAGGGGCTGACGCTGCTGCTGCCTCTGGCCACCTCCGAGGCCTCCCCTCTGGCTGGTACCACCCCGACCGCCACCACTGCCGCCGCCTCCACCCCCACTGGCGCCACCACCGCCGCCTCCACCACTCCCACTGCCGCCACCACCGCCGCCACCTACACCTCCACCCCCACCACCACTACCTCCTCCACCGCCGCCCCCTCCACCTCCTCCACCACACCCACCACCGCCTCCACCTCTGCCACCCCCACCACTCGTGCCTCCCCTGCCCCTGCCGCTGCGGCGCCTCCCACTGGGGGCAGACGCAGCTCCTACCTCCTCAGCACGAAGGTAGTAAACAGCTGCAGCAGAGACGATTGAGGGGAGAAGGGGGGAGGGCGAACACCCCTCAAAGAAGGGAGTGCGAGGAGTGCCACAAGAAGCGCCTACAGCGACTATGCTAGTCTCAGCTGCTAGGAGGTGCTTCTCGAGCAGATCGACAGTGAAGTCGGTGGGGTCAAGGGCGAGAAGGAGGTACGTAACATCTGGAGCGTCAGCCGATGGCATCTGACAGCAGTAGTGACGAGGATTTTGTCCAGACAGCTTCGTAACCGTCTGGAGTGGCATGTTTAAGTTTTGCTGCAATAAATGAATGTACCCTTTATAGTACATGGCTAGCTAGGTCGTTTCGTATTCCATTCTGTACTCCTATTTATATCTTTGTATTTGCATGTTTTATCTATCTCAATTATTTTACATCCACTATGAACTGAGGTGAAGGGCCCACCACCACCACTAATCAGTTGTGTACGAACCTTCCTGAGGAAATCCGGTCGATCAACATCTGATCGCAGCACCCATTCACAAGAATGCTGGACTTCTTAATTCAATGTAGATGCTGTTTAGAACATATCCTCAGTTTCACATAAGAGGGAATACAGAGTGTGAGCATCACAAACTTCTGCAGTGCATCAGGCTGTAACGCATTGCTTCTTTGTACGGTCCTCGACTTGCAATGTACTACTGTATAACGGATCTTCATTTCATCTTGTGCTGATTCTTTTGCTCTCCCTCTGCATCCAATAACCCAGCCCATCCCCTAGAGCGGATCCACGTCCGACTGCAATCTGTAGGTCACATTGGAGTGATGTGCATCACTGACATCCAGTCGCAACATCACAACGGCACCTCGTAGCAAACAAGATCAACAAACATCTGGTTGCATACTTCGGTTAGGAAGGGCGAAGAATGGTATACTTTGTTTTAGTTCGGTTGCACTCTTTATTGGGAATGAAGCGAAGCAGATCAGGTCGGATTTGATCGATACCCATTGCATGAGGCACCACTACGAATCGCGCCCGAATCAATGCCAATGTGGCGGTGATCCTTGGCCTCACTTGAACAAGATTCGCGAAATCAACACTTTGTTCAAACCATTCGTTCGTAAAGGATGTGGTAACTACTATCCCGCCTATTTTCGCCGGTCGCCTCCTCCCCACTCAATCGTCGCCCACCATTCGCGAATTGACATTCGTCGCCTCCTTCTTGCCCCTCACACCATCCACAAGGAAGCTCCAGACAGTTCCAGCCTCCTCCTCGCCCCTTCAGGCTTTGATTGGTCCTCAGGCAGCTACTGCGCAGCGAGGTTTACCGTTTTTAGTCCCCTGGCTTTTCAGTTCTGAGTATTTAATTACGTGACGTAGCTGCCTTTTTCACCACGAACAACCCTCAGTCGCGTTTATCAAGCTCCTTCTGCCAGCCGCGAATCCAGCGAAGGGCGTCAAGTGTTTCAGCTAGATAGTGAACATATTTCTACTTTCACACGCTTAGAAGAAGTAACACGGCCATGGTTTTCTCAGAGTCAGAGACCGCGTGCACTGCAACTATGACGGTCCGCGCGACGCAATCCCAATCCCACACCACGTGCTCAGGACGCAAGCGGAAAAATGCAGCCGTTAGTACTGAGTCCGAATCACCACGTTTCCGTTCCGAAAAAATGCTACGTTTGTGCGACTCGTCCAGCGACTGCGCTCGACCGGCGACCAATATCTCCACCCGATCCGCGTCGTCGACTTTTCTCGAGCGCAACGAGCGCAGGCCATTCGCGGACAATGTGTTTGGGCCGTCCGTACATTGTATCGAGACATCTTTTGAGGTGGACTCCGAAATAATCGGCTCGGGACAATTCGGTACAGTTCGCCGCTGCGTACACCGCGAAACCGGGTTACCCTTCGCATGCAAGTCCATCTCGAAGCTTCAACTCTTGTCGGAGGACGCGCGGGACAAGCTTCGGCGGGAGGTTCGCACGATGCAGAAAGTCGCGGACCACCCATGCGTGGTGCAGCTTCGCGGAGTTTTCGAGGACGCAGATTCAGTGCACCTGGTCATGGATCTGTGCGACGCGGGCGAGCTTTTCGGCGTGATCGCCCAACGCGGCTCGTTGACAGAGGAAGAAGCGGCGCTGGTCCTCTGGCAGCTCGCATCCGGTGTCGAGTTCTGCCACTCGCGCGGCGTGCTGCACCGCGACTTGAAACCGGAGAATATTCTTCTAAGCCTGGAAAGCTTTCCCAATAACTCAGCTTTCTCACGCGAGAATGGAGCTTGTAACGGAGCCGACTGTAACGAGGGTGACGCCGACTTCCTCGCTGTCAGAATCGCGGATTTTGGGCTCGCGATCGAGCTGGAAGCACACCAAGTAGCTCGCGGCGCCGCGGGATCTCCAATATACGTTGCTCCCGAAGTCCTAACAGGCGAATACGGTTACCCGGCGGATGTCTGGTCGCTGGGTGTTCTTCTCTTCGTCATGCTAAGTGGTCGCCCTCCTTTTTGGGGAAACTCAAACCTGGAAATTTTCGAGGCGATCCTGCACGCGCATGTTAGCTTCCCTGGCGGTTCCTGGGAAGGAGTGTCTGCAGAAGCGAAGATGCTTATAATGTGTATGCTTCAAAAGGACCCCGCGCGCCGACCGTCCGCTGCGAAGGTGCTGACTCACCCCTGGGTGCAGCGGCACTTGCGGGGAGAGGACCTTATGGGTTTTGGAAGAACTGGTTTGGGAGGATGCACGGGTACTCGCTTGGAGCAGGTCTGCTTGTAGTGTGGGTACATTCCGGCAGATAGCATGCATTTTCTGTACATAGTATCTTTTTAAATCAAGGGTGAGAGCAATACGACCCACATGTGGAATACATTGGACGTTCACACAGAAATGAAATACCACAGTAAGTGCTACGTAATACACAGGCACAGATCTTGCCATAAAACCGAACACACGATCTATATCATATTAGCACACACAAACTTGGGGATACAACCAGCTGCGATCGTGATAAGACTGACAGTTAGGGTACATTCCGCTATGGAATGTGTCCCAATCGATGTGTCCCAATCCCACTTTTGCCGAGTCGCGCTCAAATTTCTCGATCCTGCATGTCCCAATCGACTGATGTATTGCGACTTTGGGCATCAACGCGACAATTATATGCGACCCACTGTGATTGGTCAACTTCCAATCTGGCACGTACCTACACCAACAGCACAAACACCGGCGATCCAGATCCGCGGAAGGGACTTGGTTATGTACGGGGAGGGCGCGGACAATGCAGTACATGTCCGCGCTACCAATAATTGCCAAAATTGCAAGTACGTTCCCTACTCCTATACTACGCAGACAGTATGTTTAATCGAAGTATGCACATACTACATAACTACGCATTCATAACCCACACACCATGGCAGAGCCTAAAGCCATCCCCTTCATCCTACGCCTCCTCGTCGCATGGGTCACCTACTACTACACCGTTTTCTACGAAAACGTCGCGAAGTCCTTCGTAGGCCTGATAGAGTCGGGAGTGTTCGAGGACGCTGACGAGCAGTCCTCATCGCTCGGGGACGATTACGGGGAGAACCGCCGTCACAGAACGAGAGTACGGCAGCGACGTCATGCATTGTGGGTTGAAGACCTGCAGCACATGCGGGAGAACGATTTCCAAGACCTTTTCAGGATAAACCGCGCCATACTTGAGCATGTCAAAACCGGGATGCAACTCTATCTGGAGCCAATAGTGCACCGGTCAATACTCACAATTGACACCGCGGTGCTCATCCCTATCAAGTACCTGGCGTCAGGAATCTCCTACGTCGACATGTCGTACCTGTTCGGCGTCTCCAAGACACTTTGCCACGAGGTTGTCGACGTGTTCCTCACCGAGTTCCCCTCCGTCTTCAAGGCCGCCTGGGTGCGCTTCCCCACACGCGAAGAGCTTCCCGAGATGGCACGGGAATTTGCTGCCATCAAAGGTGTACCTGCTGTGGTGGGGGCTGTGGACGGGACTCATATCCACATGAAAGGGATGGAAGGGCACAGAGCGGATTACTGGACAAGGAAGTCGGCCTATGCCGTACAACTCCAGCTCGCGTGTGATGCACGAGGCAGGATATGGGACTACCTGATCGGCTATCCCGGTAGCGCGCACGACATGCGGGTTTTCAAAGAGTCTGCACTACTTGAGAGGTTACACAACGAGGACATAGCCCCATACCAAATTGTCGGGGACGCGGCCTACCCTCTACGAGAATACTGCCTAACACCCCTGCATGCCCCTCGAGGAGAGGACCTCATGGACGACTGGGCACAATGTTTCAACTACTGTCAGAGCGCCACACGGATGGCGGTGGAGAGGTGCATCGGCGCCTTCAAAGGGAGATGGCGCATCTTCGCCCAGCGCAACGACTGCAGGTTGTGGCGCATTCTCGCTGGGGCCGCGTGTTGTGTGATCCTGCACAACATGTGTGAAGAGATGCAGGAGGTAAGGCGCAAAAACATGGCCTGGGAGAACCTTCCCCGCAACCGCGATCCATGGTGGACGCGGGGAGCTATTGCGACACACAAGTGGGAACCGTGTGTCCCACCAACACAACAGGCACTGAGGGAGAGGCGGAAACGGCTGGGAGAGGCACTCCAGGACTCTTACTCTAATCGGCGGCGCCGCGCACCCATATCTCCACATCCTCATCAGCCGGAGTGACGGTGTTGACGTCGCCCATATCTTCCCGCGGCTGTGCGGCTTCGGGGGGTGGTGCGGACCCCCCGCGTGGCGGTGGAGGGGAGAAATCTGGCGGCGCACGGTGCACATCCGGGGGAGCCGATTCAGTCATGCGCTCGCGGGCAAGTCGCAGGTCTTGCGCCATCCATTCTCGGACGAGGCCTTCAACGACTCTCATCGCAACACCGTGGTAGTCCTTGATGGTGGCGGACACCAACATCGCCGCTTGCATGGTAGCCGTCTCATGCACCCGGGCGCGCTTGGGTGTGGCAGTGTTCGTCGGCGGCGGAGCTGAGAAACAAGAGAAGACGGGAAGATAGTAGTTTAGATTGGTAGGTGCACACAATGACGATGTATCGTGCATGTTAGCCGATAGTCTAAACAGCAGTTTGAAACTAAAACTTGTATGGCAAGCATGCGAACCAAACAACATGGAGCCGGGATCATGTCTCACCCGTAAAACATGGCGTTGACGTGCCTGGCTGGGACGAAGTTGGAACCTCCATGCCGGCCGGCACGTTGACGTTGGTCGCGCCTCCACCGTCCACCGCATGCGGTGCGGCTGCGGCGGTGTCTTGGTTGTGCAGCTCCATGTACGGATACCATGGTGGTTTATCCACCGAGCCGTTGCCCGAACCCCCGTCGGCACGCTTGTACTCCCGCCAAAGGAGCGTCAAGTTACGCCACTGCTTCTGCAGTGCGTTGACTCCCCTGCACCATCCGGGGTTCGACTCCTTGATGTGTGCAAGCAGCCGGGCCCAGTATTGCGTCCCCTGCTTCCCCTTGAGTGGCTCGAGCTCATCTTTCAAGAACCATTTCGCCGCGGCGAAAATGGTGCTCTCCTTGTCAGACCATAAGCCGCGCTCGACAGATGCTGCCGCACGTTTCTTCCGCGGCTCAGGGCGCGCTGCAGGTTGCGCAGCCTTGCCTTTGCCCTTGTCAGACCCTTGTTTGCGTGCGGCGCTCCGTTTCGGCGGCGGAGCGACAGGCTGTGATTCCTCCGGGGCGTCCTCCTCGGCATCCTCATCGTCGTCGTCGTCGTCTTCGTCGTCGTCGCTGGGCAACATTCCCTGGTCTTCGGGCTCCTTCTCCTCGTCATCGGAGTCATCCCCTTCTTCGCGGTCGTCGTCGTCAGCATCGTCATCGTATTGCTCCACGACTGGCCGGTGCGTTGCTGCCATCCTTGCAGGCTGACGGCGCACACGTGACGGGGCCGCTGTGGGCGACTGGGCAGTGGATCCCTGGCCGTCAAGCACGGGCGGCGCGGATAATCCCCTAGGATGGCGACCGTTGGCGATCTGCTGGTTCATCCAGCGGATGTACGGAATGTCGTTAAGATCCTTGGGGCAGTCGTTAAGGGCCTGCCCCTTACGCTTACGAGCCATGCTGGTGGGTAGAAGGTGTCTAGATCTAGAACTAGAGGGAGCGGAGGCTGTGAGAGAATCACAGATTGGTACTTTGCAGCTGTTGCACAAACTTGACCTCGTAAGGGATGGGGAGGCGGAGGAGTTGTGGGGGAGGTGCACTGGAACTGGCGGAAGGCGCAATGTCGGGGGGGTGCGCGTCCCTGTCAATAATTCTAGAAAGGTCGTTTCGACCAATCGGCACGCTGTGTACGCGTTGATGGGGATAGAGCGGGCCCAAAAATGCCGTCCAGATACCGTATGGCCCCGGATATAAGCGCATGCCTATTAAAAGCGCATGCGCTTGTATCTGGAGCAATGCGCTTATGGCCGATCCTCAATTATAAGCGCACCCCTTATAAAACCCTGATATATTATAAGCGCATGTGTAATTTTATTTATAATTCTTCATTAAAACGGTAACGAATCTCAGTTTTGCAGCGAGGCCACAACCCATTTTCGCTTACATTGACTTTCGAAGACCTCTCACATCCTGCGCGTCCAGTCAGCACGAGCTGGCACGCCCTCAAAGTGAGGTGTTACACTGTATTTTGCCTCTGGGCGCTCGCGAAGAATCGCCCGCGCGCGATTTTGACATGTGACTTTCTACAATTTCGATTCGATTGAAATCTGAAGGATGAGATGTACAATTTGGTGCATTGAAATATATATTTGTATTTGTTATATTATAAGCGCATGCGCTTATAATTTTTACTCAATTATAAGCACACCCCCCAAAAAAACACTGTTTTATTATAAGCGCAGGTGCGCTTATATCCGGGGTAATACGGTACATGCTACATGAGATGACATCTGGGGCCGCGTGCGATTGGTTGGGTGTGTTTTAATTAGCTGGCGATTGTTCCGTGATACACGCCACCCAATGATAAATACAGTCGGCGATAACCACGGGCGGCACGGCATTCCGACACCTGGCAGCATATGCTGTACATACGCGTCTCAATCGATTGGGACACATCGATTGTGACATATTCTACAGCGGAATGTACCCTTAGTTCCTCGAGCAGATTATACCGTATCTACAAGTCATCAGATTCCACAAATAGACAACTCAAGCTCGACATGTTTACACCCCGACCTCAAAATTCTCTAAGCAACTGTTGCTGTGGCAACCATACTTGGTTCCACAGTCCCCCCACCACTCCCCCCTGCTTCCCCCACCCCCTCTTCTCCCTTCAATTCGCCCTTTCCTACAGCACCCACACCTTCTACCACACTCTCTCTCCCCTGCTCCAAACCTACCTCTACCCCTCCCTCCTCTCCCTCCCCTCCAACCCTCACCTCTCCCCCTCCCTCACGACTCTTCACCGAACCCTCCCCCACCCCTTCCCCCTCCGCTTCTCCCCCTTCTCCTGTACCACCCCCCTTGCGCCCCCCCTGTTTCTTCCCCAGCATTCCCGCCCCCACCATCCCCCCTGCCGACACCGCCCGACCAAACAGCCACGCCCACGCCTCCACTGTTGTTTGCACCGGTCCTGGCGCCTTGCGAGAACGCGGGGAGGGCGACGGAGATGGGGAGAGAGAGTGTGTGTGGGTGGGCACGTGGGTGGAAGTGGATGGGGAGGTGAGTTTGGTTTGTTGGGCTTGTTGGGTTTGTTGGGCTAGTAGGTTGGTTGGGCTTGCGAGGTGGGGTGATGGTTCTGGCCCCTCTGCATGCCCCTCTGCATGCCCCTCTGAAGGGTCGGGTGGAAGGACTAGAGGAGCCGACTTTGGTGGCCCTTTTCTTGTGCGAGCTATTGCTGCTGCTGGTGGTGGTGGTGGTGGTATTTCTGCCGCTGTTGCGACTGGTACCCCTGCTTTTGTCTCCTCCTCAGCTCCTCCTACCCCATCTCTACTTACATCACCCCTCTCCTCTCTCTCTGCTCCCTTACTCCCCTCGTAGCCCTCCCCACTCTCTCCGACCAGTCCTGGCCCCTTCACGTTCTCCCCATCATTCAGGCTGTATCTGCGCTTGTGCTTCTGCTTCTGCTGCTGCTCCTCTTCCAGCTGCTTTTGTTCCTGATGCTGCCCTTCCTTCTGTTCCTGCTCCTGCTCCTTCTCCTGCTTCATCTGCTCCTTTCCCTGCCCCTGTTCCTGCTCACGCTCCTGCTGATGCTGCTTCTGCTTGGCAGCTGCAACAGCAGCGGCCAGCCTCTTGGGCCCTATAACGCGGATGGAGTGAGCCGCCAGCCTGTGAGCACGCTGGGCCGCACCTATCGACTGGTTGATAAACTGGAACGAGCCTGTTCCCGAACCTGACGCTGAACCTGATCCCGAGCCACTGTTTGGGCTGTGGCTGCTGCTGCTGGTGCCTGTGCTGAGGTGGCTGTGTCGCCCGGGAGTGGTGGACGCGGAGAGAGGGGAGGAGTGTGAGATCGGGGAACGGATGGGGGATCGTGTGGGCGGCGTGAGAGGGAGGCGCGAATCGGAAGAGTGTGATAAAGAAGAGGGGTATGAGGGGGTGGATGGGGAGGGGGAAGGCGAGGTGGAGAGCGATGGGAGGCCAAGGCCTAGCCCAAGACCTAGGACTTTTTTCTCCCTGGGCTCCCGAGGCTGCCCTTCTCCTCTGCTATGACTTTCCTCTGCTTTCTTCTCCTTCTTCTCCCTTTTCTCCCTTTTCTCCTTCTGCTCCTTATCCCCCTTATCGCGCGGCTCTTTCTGCTGCGATTTGTGCTTGTCCATGAGATGCTCCTTAAAGGTCTTATACTCTCGAAACTCGCCTCCTCCTCCCATTGCCGAACCAGTCGTCGACGCGCTTCGGAAAACACCGAACCTCCTTCGAGCTCTCCCTGCTCCACCCGAGCCATCTGCCGGACCTTCCGCCGAGCCTGATACCGGACCAGAATTCCCCGATGCTGCTGTGAAACCTGTGTTAGCATCGGCTGCGTCATAATCAGGCGAATCTACAGTATCCCCAGTAGTGCAAAAAACAGGAAACGGAGGGCCCTTTATGGTCACTAAAACCCCTCTTCTCCCATCATTACTGTCTGATTTGGGAATACGTGGGTGGTACTCTTTCTCCCCCCTGCCTGACCCCATTGCAGGCTCGGAAACAGGCTCGGAAGGGTGTTCCGAAGCTGGTTCGGATGGAGGTTCGGAAACAGGTTCGGACTCAGGTTCGGAAGGAGGAGGGGCTGGGTAGTCCTCCTTGGCTTGCGGCTGACGTGGCGAGACTGGAGTGCCAAGTGGATGGGCCCTATCAGAGGCTGTCGCTGCTGATTGGCTGGAAGCTGCTACAGCCGCTACAGATGCAGCTGTACCAGCTGCGTGAGAGGACTCAGCTACAGGGGAAACTCCATCAGTAGGGATGCTAAGAGCAGGAGGGTGAGCGGAACGAGGGTCAGCGGAAGGCGGGTTGGTGGAGAGAGAGGGAGTGGGCGCGAGTGTGGGGTCGCGTGGCAGAGCGGACGTAGCAGAGGTTTGCGATGGCTCAAAAGGCTCGGAAAGCAATGGCTCGGAAGGCAAAGGCTCGGAAGACATAGGCTCGGAAGGCAAAGGCTCGGAAGGCATAGGCTCGGAAGACAAGGGCATGGGTGAGGAGGAGGTTGAGGTGGACTTTCTGGGGAACCAGCGCATGAACCGCCCCATCCTTGTGCCGCCGCCGCCGCCGCCGCCGCCGCCGCTGTTGCTGTTGCTGGCGCTGGCGCTGGCGCTGGCGCTGGCGCTGATGCCGGTGGTGCTGCCAGTGGTGGTGGTGGAGCGAGCTGCGATTCCGTCCGTGCTGCTGCTGCGATTCTTGGCATAGCGTGGATTGGCCTCGGCAGTGGCTGTGTCAAGATCAGCAGCAGCAGCAGCAGCAGCAGTAGCATCAGTACCAGCATCAGCAGGAGCTATACCATTCTCACCGCCACCGGCGCTGTTGCTGCTGCTCCGCCCGCTCACCCCCCCCACCTCTTCGCCCAGACCCTCCGCCCACCCCCCAGTTCCGCCTCCCCCTTCACTCTTCCGCCGCCTGCGCCACCCTGCTTTCTCCCCTTCCCCCTGCGCCCCCTTTCCCGCGGACACCCCGTGACTGGGGGACCTTGGGGGCGTTACGGGGAAGGGAAGGGTCTGGGAGCGGGGGGCGGTGGGGGAGTGAGGGGGCGTTGGGGAGCGGGGGGGCGTGGGGGTGGAACGGGGGGGAGTGGGGGAGGAGCGCGGGGGGGTGCGGGTGGAACGAGGGGGAGTGAGAGCTCGGCGCAGCATGCGGGACGGGGAAGGCGCTCGCCCAGAGAAGCGGCTCCAGATACTCGACTGCTGTGACTGTTGTGACTGCTGCTGCTGCTGCTGCTGCTGCTGCTGCTTCTGCGGCTGAAGCTCCAACTGTGCATCGCCCAACGAATCAGCTCCCAGTATTTCCACCTCCAGCCCCTCAGAACCTTCTTGCCCCTGCTGTCCCTGTCCCTGTCCCTGTCCCTGTTCTTGCTGCCCCTGCTGCCCCTGCTGGTGCCCCTGCTCCTGCTCCTGTTTCGTGTCATCCGAGTAGGAGAACGAACCCGAAGGGCCCAACTCAGCACCTTCCCCCTCTTGCCCCTGCCCCTGCCTCTGTTCCTGCTCCCCCTGCCCCTGCCCTTGCTCCCCCGACTGCTGCTGCTGCTGCTCACTCTTGTTTCCCACCTCGCTCTGCTTTCTCTCCTCACTCATCCCCGCTACTAGCCCCCCCCCCAGCCCGCCGCCGGCGCGCTGTTTCTCCTTAATCCGCGTCTCCCGCCACCGACCAATGTCGGGGGACGCGCACTCCGCCGCCGCCGCCGCCGCCGCCGCGGCCGAACCTCCCGCTGCCTCGGCCAGCAGCGGGGTGCCGAGCCACGGCGGGAGGTTCGGGGCCAGGCTCGGGAGTTCCCGGACCCCGACCGAGATGTCTACTGACTGGCTGTCTCGTGCTGCAGCTGCTAATGTCGTTGGTGCGGTTGCTGCTGCTGCTGCTGCTGCTGCTGCTGCTGCTGCTGCTGCTGTTGCTGTTGCTGTTGCTACAATTATTTTCTCTCCTCCTTCACCCCTTTCTGCTCCAACCCTAGTTTCCTCATACGTAACGCCCTCCGGCTTCTCGCCCCCCCCTTCCCCGCTCCCCTCATCCGCCGTCGCCCCTTCCGCCCCGCCTTCCTGCCCCTTCTTCTCCCTCCTCTCCCTCTCCTCCTTCCTTCTCTCCCGCTCTCTCCGCCTCCTCGCCACTCCCGCCGCTTCGTCTTCATCCTCGCTACTACTATCTCCATCACTCCCCGGCAGAGGCGGCGGCTCCTGAACGGAAGTAAAGTACGCATCGGGCGCGTCGGGATAGGGATCTAAGGAGGGTAGGCCACTACCCGCCACGCCACGATAGCGCGCTGACGTGGATGCCATGGATTGGCTGATGGCTTCGAGAATCTCGCCCGACAGTTCTTTCGGAGCGGGTTTATGGACGTCCTTAAACACGTCGCCGTCGCCAACGGTCGTGTCTGACGTGGCACGCGACGTCGACGTGGCAAGCGACGACGACGTGGCTGACAAGATCCCTGTTTCCGCGTCGCCATCGTCCGAGCTTTCCGCTATACCAGAGGAACCTTCTGAGGTGCTGATGAGGCTGCTACCAACGAGGATTTCGTTACTAGCATCCCCGCTTGCTGAGAGAATCTCCTTGTAAAAGGCTCTGTGCAGGATGGCGAGTAGCGAACAAGCCTGGTCTTTCGCGAACGGGTGGTAACCGATGAGGTAGCAGACAAGGCCGGACGACCATCGCTGGAACAAGACCAAGAGGGTCCCGTGACCCTGCGAGCAGGAAATTGACCGAAAAAATAAATAAAATCAACAAACGGAGGAAGGTGAGGGATGGATAGCCTCCTCTCTCACGTAAAGGAGTTTGGCAGGGAAGGAAAAAAGAAAGCCAATCCGATGCTTTACCGAATGGAATAAAAGGTAATAATAATGAAAAAGCATTACAAACTTTACCAAAGGGTTTACCGACGAACACAGATGTTGAGAAAAGAAAAGACAAAGAAAGGAAAGTTGATCGTATCGTCGTTTACATTTAGAATCTATGCCTATGAACACCAAGCAGGCTTACCATTCGAGTCCCATCAAAACGCCTGAGTCTCGCATTGTAACGCAAACTAAAAGAGTAGCACGTTTGACTCCAGCCATGCACCAAAGGAAACCCGTGTTTCGAGGGTCAACAGAATCGCGGGTATAAAGACGACCTTTGAGATACCTCACAAGTCATTATGAGGGTCCACCAAATCAAGCCACGTACCAGAGAATACTGGGAGACATGCGCAGGAATGGCGGAAAATGCGCTACACATAGGATCTCGAAAGACGTCAGCTTCCCTGCCATACTCCGCTATAATCGCGCCGTCCTTCGCGATACCTATGTACGAAATCAGTTCCACCTCCTCCATGTCTCTCTGTCAATAACTTATTGTCCTCAGATGGAACGACTGCCATCAACCGTAATTTACAAAAAAACGTTTGCCACCTAGAGTGAAACTCTCACCTAACATCAGTTATCGTTGGAGACAACCAGCCCTGCTCTCAATGAAGTACACATGATGCCCAGCCACTGCGCGCGAATTTGCCTTTCCCTTTTCAGAAACTCTGCACCCGTGCTTTTTTTCCCAGTCAGTTGCACCCACGGTATATGCACGCGGATCAACTTGCATATGGGCGAGAAAACGCCAAAGTATGAATCCTAGGCGCAAAACAAACCATGCTGACCCGGTTTGTTCTTGTTTCTTGGCCAGAAACAGACATAAACCCTAAACCCTGAACTAACAACACAGGCCCACCAACATTATTTTGGAAAAAACAAACGAGTTACAACCTGTGTTTTTTAGAAGCACATCAACACCCTGGCGAAATAAAACGAGCTGGGCGAAATGTTCAAAATGTTTATAAGCCCAGAGCACAACCCAAGTAGGGAGAACTCAAACGGGCATCAGGTGTACTGTAAGAGCAGGCGAAGAGCCAGCAGCAGGCCGTAATATGACAACAGAGCTGCTATAAGCCACAGATACGCTCCCAACACACGCTTGTGGATAAGGTGGAGGAACCATCACAAAAGCAACTTCCACGAACAGAGACCTTCAAAATGGAGGAATTTACCCTTGTCGCAAAATGCCTTTGCAGTGCGTACACCCTGTTTCGCGCCACACTGACATTCGCCATATGAATCCATCGCTTTGTGTGACTGCACCAATCCCAGAATGGTGCTAGCACATTGTGTTCACGCACAATCAGCTCTGCCAACTTGGTTGTGACTGCCCTTGACTTTGACCGGCCAGAAAGTGAGGCTGCATCTAGACAGCCGTGAACACGTACGAAATCATAGCAAACCCAGCAGCTGAGGTGTCGAAAATCCACATGCAACGCCAGAGACTGGTCCATTGAATTTTGTCAAACGTTATCAACCCACTGATGCATCCGTGCCACGTGTGGTAATCCACAACGCCAGCCTGCCACGTCAAACCCGAAATGTAAACTCGGAAATTGAAATCGGAGAAATCTGTCGCAATTCCAATCCATTCGACAATGGCGACTCGGCATGCGACATTGAACACCGATAAGAATTGAGCGACTCTTACACTGCAACAGCCAGAGAGGCTTGCGCCACACAATGGCTCGCGTTTCTCTCACTCGCTACATGAAACGGGCAATCTGTCTGCACCAGCAAGCCAACAAGACACTAACGCACGAGGACCTTTGCGAGTGGACTGCGAAGAAATTCAATGTCGTACCGTCGCGCACAACCATAACCAGGGTGTTGCAAGACAAGGCAGAATGGCTGCAGGATCGGGGAGATGAGAACGCCAACGAGCGACGCGTTCGCAAGGGACTCTACCCTGGTTTAGAGCTGCGTTTATGCTGCTGGATTAATTCAGCAGCTGCTGAGGGCTTACCATTGACTCTCGCAGTAATTCAACTCCGCGCCAAGCAGCTTGCACGAGAGATGCCCGACATCCCTCCATCCTTCAAGTGTTCTATCGGATGGGTGGTGCGGACACTTAAGAGGATGGGCCTGAAATGTCTCATGCGCAAGGGAGAAGCAGGATCTGCTGATATGGAAGCAGTTGATGCGTGCCGTGAGAAGCTGCCACAACTTCTACTCCGGCTTGGAATCACTCCAGAAGATTGCTACAACTTTGACGAAACTGCTCTCTACCCGGCTCAAATTCCACGACGGACTTATGCACGTGAAACGCTCGCAGGCGGCAAGGGCTGCAAGGAACGCCTCACCGTTGCACTGCTGTGCAATGCGGACGGCTCCGACATGTGGAGGCCTCTTGTGATTGCAAAAGTGCAGAGGCCTAGAGATTTTGGTCGCGATTTCAACGTCGAACACCATGTGAAATGGAGGTGGAATCGTAAAGGCTGGATGAACACTGAGGTGAGCCCCTTCAAATATATGGATTCGCATTCCGCTCTTTACATACGCATTTTGCATCCGTGCGGTGATTATGTCGTACAACTACTGCTAATTCACGTGTCATTTTGTGCCCCCCAGCTCTTCAGGACATTCATGGAGAACGTCAACACGACATGCTACGCTCAGGGACGCCAAATTGTCGTGCTCATGGATAATGCATCGTCCCATACGGTTGATCCCACGATGGGCCGGGTGGAATCACTTTTCGGGATTAAGACGGTGAAAATGACGAACGTGCGTATCATCTACCTTCCAGCCAACACAACCACCTTTGTGCAGCCCCTGGACCAGGGCCTTATCGCATGCTTCAAGATGCGGTTCCGCCAGCTCAGGGTTGCAGAGCTGATTAAGGTGTTCGACGAGGGTACCACTGGCGCCGAACTCCGTCGCTCGAAACCAAGGGCTAGAATTACCGTGACGTGGATTGGTGATTCAGTGAAATCCATCGATGCAAGCACTATTCAAAGGTGCTTCTGGCGCACGGGATGTCTTCCTGACCAGTGGCTGCCGCAGCTGGAACACGTGACCCCAACAACGATGGGCTCACCTAGTGGAGTTTCGCAGGCCGACATTGCAGATCTCTCAGAAGCAATTCAGCGTCTGCAGCTGGGCCATAGGGCAATGAGCCCTATGGAGTTCGTGTGCTTTGACGAGCTGCAGCCAACGAGTAAGCTGATGGAGCCGAATTTGGAACTCGGAGTGGACTGCGAGATGCTCAACTCAGAATTGTCCTTCACCATGCAGACCATGACTGCAGATGCTCTGCTTGACCGAAGTGAACGTCGTGTGGCGCGCCAAGCCACAGAAGTGCTCATCACTTACGCTCGGGCGAAGGGCATTTTCAGCCCCGTGAACTTATTGACGAGCTCGAAATTGGAAGTAGTGTCGTCATGGACCGTCTTGAGCGCGCCAGCCGTCCAACAATTGACCTCAATGTCGATGCAGAAGAGGAACGGGATGGCATGCAGCAAATGCAGGCTTGTGCGCCCTTTGCAAATGAGGCCGAGCTGCTGGCTTTTGCCATGGAAATGCTCGGTCTAGGCGTGGCTTAGAGTTTGGCGGTTTTGTCAATCAGAGGGAATTTCTGTGGTTTGGTTCAGTGGTTATCCAGATGTGTCGTGCATGCCCTGTTTCGTAGGTGTCCCCCTGTGTCTGTGTTTCTATTTGCTGCAGGTTTTCGTTCTCCTGTCTATGGCAGCCATGGATACCGGCTACTACGCGTGCCTTTCTGATGGTTCGGCGCTCTGTTTTCTTCTTCTTTTGTTTGGGTGGATTCGAGTCTGTTCGACGGGAGGGTTTGTGGCATGGCTTGTTTCTTCAGGGCTTGTTTCTTTCCATGTACTGTTTGAATCTAGTTGTGTTTCCCCATTTTGGATTTACCACTTGTGACCCCTCCCTACCGAACTGACTGACTCTGGTTTTGATTGAAACCTGTGTGTGCAATCCGGCTGGTTGCAATTTTGGTTTGACTAGATTTTGTTTCCGTATGAAATGTCAGGTCAACATGTTAAGACAAAGTCAACAGACCATTTTGAATGTTCTGATTTGTCGCTAGGTGCACTGAGTGGTTGTCAACATTAGGGGTGTTGGTCACATGCACAGTGGCGCTAAATGACCGCACTGTTGACGCAGCTCCCGATTGTCAGAACGTTGATTAAAGCTGAAGTATACATTTGTCATCCAGGTTTTGGGTTTAGAAAGTCACCTCACGGTCTCACAGGCAAACTTTCAAATTTCAAAAGTTTTTTAACCCCTTCTGTCAAATGTATACGAAAGCTTTAACAGGGTATAGATGCTCTTTGAGCATTTTTTGTTGGGCCAACATCACAGGCATGCAAAACAGTCTGGTAACCCTATTCGATTGTATGCAAAACCGTCAATACCTCAGTTCCACTGCGCAAATCTGTCTGGTACCGCCACTCAAAACACTGTGTAACAGCTGACGCAGCACAAAAAGGAAGCAATACGTGCAACAATGATTACGCTTTCGATTTCGTTTCATTCTATTCTTACCGCGCCTTGTTTGGCGCCTGACAACGATTCCTGCGGGCAACTATTTTCCGTCGAATGTGCACGATAATTTCGACCGAAAACTTCGTTGGAATGAAAGTAATATATATATTGCTACCGGGTACTGTTAGGGCAGGCAAGAAAAAACTGAAACCCCAAGGGACCTGGACTTATTTCAGGGAGGGATCAACCCTAAACACGGGAAAGGGCATTGTTTTTAGGGTTGATGCCTCCCGAGTTGCATCCCTTTCCGATTGGGTTTTATTTTTTCTGCAGGTGTAGCGAACAGTGTTGCTCACATGGCAGAACAGTCGCCCGAATATATCGAATTTTAGAGGAAAGAAAAGCGTGGTAAAAATCCGTTTTTGAATTAAATAGAACCGCGATTCCAGGGCAATTTGTCAATACCTCCAAAACCGAGGTATCGACGGTTTTGCGTACAATCGAATAGGGTTACCATACTATTTTGCATGCCTGTGATGAAAGAAGGGAGGCGCTCGGGTTTTGGTTCTTCACAAGCCATGTAATGTGACGAAATAGCCCGCTAACATCTCTGAGGGGGTGTCCGAAGTGAAACGTCGATGGATGTCGGCGGATGTCGGCGGATGTCGGCGAATCCTGACGGTCGAAATATCTGATCCGAGGGCTGATATGTATCGACATCCCCAAACGGATGTCAGCGGATGTCGACGTTTCACCCCCTAATTGTACCCGAGGGATCCCAAAATGAGCACTGACCCAAGTTCTTCCTTGAATGAGCTCTGCCCTGCTAGGCAAGGCGAGCGATGCGTGTTGTCGGGGTTTCGTAGATCTTCGTCTCAGGAGCTGTCGTGACCATTCGCCTGCCACTAACTGCCTTGTGGTGTGGCCCCCTCACCGAAGTGGTAACTCAAACCCTACCGACGAGTAATACTTGAGGACAATCCCGTGAATTCTGGTGGTCGATCCAGCCAATGAAACCGAGGCCCAACATTCTGCTTGTAGCGGGTCAGTACAGTTCACCCTTCCATCTGCTTATGTTTCTCATTCCAACACAGGTGTGTGCAAGAAGGATGTGTCTGGGTAGTATAACCTCTCTACTTTCTTTCTGCTTTGATTCTTGCTTACTGGTGCAACTCAAAGGCCACTGTCTGCTGTGTCAAACTGTCCTGATCCACGAAACATAAACTGCAAATACACAATCTGGAACGCCCTAAATGAAAGATAGAATGCAGCACTGGTAAGGTGCCTATCTCGCACATTCATATGCTTATATGCTACTCAATAATGCTCTACAATACAACATTGTACTGACAAGAAAGAAAGACATCATACTGGTCCAATCATTTTTTCTTGTTGCAGCAAGGAACATCGCAGGACGAAATCAGGACCTGGTCCCAGTTCTTGTACAGTGAGCAAGAAGACACTGGTGATAATGTAGGAGGCAGGCTGGGTCTGGCTTTTTCTGCACTGTACAAGCGGACATGCTGCCATATCTTAGTGGGAGCTTTTGCGGGGGGGTTTCGTTTCGACATTCTTGGCATCAATGACGTACAGTACATTGCTACTAGGGAAACTGAATTTCCTTTCCACCGTGTACGTGAAGTGCTTTGTATGTGCTTACTGTATGTGTCATGTGTGCCCCAATTCTGGCCTTGAATGCTTCTATCACTTCATGTTTCATGCACCTCATCTCGGGCAGCCCATACATAATTTCATCGGCAGTTCCTGGATGGCAGGAATGATACTGTAGAGAAGTTGTCGCGCTGGAGGGACTGAGGGGCGATTGATGGGAGGGATTTTTGAAGGATTGGTGGAAGAAAACTTGCGCACTTGTCAGTGGAGGCGGCTACACCCTCTTTCTCGCCATACTGACGTCCGCTATACTGACTTCCAGAGTGAAAAAGCTCGGTTGAGGTTGGTTGATTTAGGTTTCGGTATGGTTCATTTGGGCAAATCGAATAGGACAAGGCCAGCCTGCCAGTTACGCGCGGGTCAGTGTAGCGAGAAACAGGGTGTACTGATGGGTGTTACAAATCTTCATACCGTAGAAAACGACGAACCGAACTGCAACTCTCACTAGTTAGTTATGTATGGGCACGCGGCGCCACTTCCCCCTCCCTGAGCTCCCCCCTTGGTTGGTGTCTGGTCTGTTGGTGGTGTGGTGTGATGTGTACGGCCCTGTTCGATTGCACTTCATTCTTTTGTACAGCCCCACCAAAGTATAGCCGAGTCGGCCAAGGGTTTCCGAACCTGGGGTCACTACCTTCCAGATGCAGCTTGATTTGGGTTACAGTACTGACATCTGTAGAAACAGTCCAAGCCGCAAGTGTCAGAACCGCATAGTCAAAGGATACACAACAGTCCAAAACTGCACGTCCAAAAGCACAACTCATTTTCCGTTTTTTTTTGTTGGAATTTGGACTCCATAAGTACCCTGGGCAGAAAATGGATCCGTACAAAAACAATTCAGTAGTTCAACGGGACAATTGAACCCTCTTGGGTTTAGGGTAATTTTGTTTTTAGATTTTCACGAATACCCCACCAAAGTGCAGCGGACTCGCTGTCGTTTGAGCACCAAGCGTGAAACAGAACTCTTCAAAGTCCATTTTGCCCCTGGATCACTGTTCTTGACCAGTTGGCAACAGTGTTTGGACCGCGGTCCGCAGTGAAAATTCCCGCACCAGATTTGTAGGTGCCCCGAACTTACTTGAGGTTCTGGTTTGGATCTGCCAAATCTCTCGGCGGGTTTAAAACCCTTGTTAGCCACTGCCGAGCCTTTACCGAGCCACGCAATACTTTGATAGGGCTGTGGTTACCCCTGGACTTCAAAGCTATCGAACAAGGCCTATGTGTGATTTCGCATATGTTGCGTGTATTCCCCCCCACCTCTCCACCTCCCAGCCCCTCCCCTCCCACCCCACCACCTTCCCCCCTCACTCCTTTCTTCCCCTCCCCTCCCCTCCCTCGAATCAATCTTCTCTGTACTGCAGTGTTCATCGATTGTACAGTACGTGTACATCTGGATGAATCTTGGGGAGAGCGTCGTCCAGTCAGCGCACGACACACGGATGAATGGGCTCTTTTCTTCTGCTGTTCTTTCGATTCCTCCAGTTCACCCCTCCCCCTAACCTCGTCTCGTTCTTTCTTGTTCCATTCCCGAGGCTCTTTTCGCCTGAGGTAGTGTGGTGTTCTGGCTCCCCTCCCCTGCACTCACCCAACATAACAGATTCAAGAGAGTTGCTTACCAGTAACAGCTGCGGTAGGGTGCTCCGCTCCCGGCTTCGCGTCGTGATGCTGTCGCGTCGCGTCGTGGCATGCGCAACTTCCGACGACTTACCTCCTTAGGACGCGCTTCTGCCGGTCCTGAGGAGGGAGTCGCTTACAGCCTGGCTTCACATTAGTGAATGTCTGCATCGTGAACGGTCTGCGTCTAAGTTTTTATTCGCATGAATGGGATGTAAAAAGCAGCATGTTGATTCGTGATGGACGGACCCGGCGATGCAGCGTGCAGCTTACTTAGCTTATCCGCGATAAGCCGGCCGAGTCGCACGGAGCTCGACTTCTCGAACACGAGCCTCTTGCCGTCTTGATTTTTTTCTGTTGTTATTTCTCGAATCGGATTTCATTTTCCGATTGTTTTCCTCCCGAGTATCCGAGTCATTTATAACTATCATCCTGAATCGTTGACCATTGGAAACGCGGCATCCATGGAGGGTTCACGATATTGACCCCCGTTTAAAGCAGCGAGAGATCTGTTGTTCTTCTAACGAGGGTTTCAGTTATGGTAGCGGAAGGCACGGCCGTCGTCTCCCCTTCCGCCCCCTTTTCCGCGAATCCTTCCGCGTGGGAGCAGCACAGTCAGGCGCAGCTCCCCCCGTTCTCCGCCACTCCTTCCGCCACCTCCGCCATTCCTTCCGCCATTTCTTCCGCCGCTCCTTCCGCCGACCCTTCCTCATCCGCTTCCGCCAAACCTTGCGCATCCGCGGACATGGCTCTCCGCCCAGCCCCGCCAATGCGCTCATCAAGCGAGGGCAGCGGCGCAGTTCCCGCCTCCTCCGGAGTCGGGCTTTGCGCGGACGCGGAATGCGCGCGCGGAGGGTATGTACACCGTGGAGCCACGCGGGGAGCTTGCGGCGGAGCATGCGGCGCAGTAAGCGTCGGCGCAGAAATCCGTTCCGCGGCGGACTCTTCCGCGGCGGACGCTGGCGACGCGCAGCTGATATTCTACGTGGGGCTCGCGCACCGGGGGGTTGTGCTGGCGGACTACGGCAAGCAGAGGAAGCTCCTGCGTAGCCTTGTCGCGTCAGCGCTCCTCGAGATTCCGCACCACGTCAGCAGATTCTCCATGGTGCGGACCGCCCGCGTCCCTTGCTTCTCCCGCCAGCCGGCCTGTCGCCGCACATTGCTCTCGTAGCTCGTTTTCTCTCTCTTTTTGTTGCCCTCTCGTTCCGCTGCTCTCACCTCTTCGTCTCACTTTCTTTACTTCTACTTCTCCCCTACCCATTCCCGCCTCCCGTTCTCCTTCTGAGATTTCTTTCCACCTAGCTTTGCTTTCGCCTTTTCCTCCCTACTGCCGCTGTCCCCCACCCCTCCCCAGCCCCCATTGCGGGGTCTGCACCTGCCCGTCGCGTCCACCTCACCTTCCCCTCATCCCCTCGTCCCCCTCCCCTTCCCCTCCCCCCCCACCCCCCCTTCTCCCTCCCCCTTTCTCTTCTCATCCCCTTTCCCTTCCCCCTCCCCTCCTCATCCCCTTTCCCCTTCCCTTTCTCCGTTCTTCTCCCCTTTCTCCTCCCCCTTCCCCTTCCTCTCCCCCTGCTCTACCCGGATCCTAGGGTTACGGTCGCACCAACGTCCTGTTCGCCGTCGACCAATCAGGGCTCGCCGCGTTTGCAGTCGCTGACGGGGCGCTGGACCGTCCGCGCGCCTACTCTATCCTGAGTAGCATCCGATGTGCTTATATCGAGCTCTGCTCGCTCTCCGTCTCCCGCTCCCCCTCCTCCCCGCGCGCCACTCTCCGCTCCGCCTCCCCCCCTCCCTCCTCCACCTCCGCCTCCGCAATTCCCCCTTCCGCTCGCCGCGCCTTCTCCCCAATCTCCGCGCGCCCTCCCCCTTCCCCCCCGCTCCCCGCGTCGCCTCCCCCGGACACTCCTCCGCGCCCCGCCACCGCGGATCCCGCGTCGCTCCGCGCGTTCGCCAGGCGATTGGCCGGCGGCGTGGGCCACATCAGCAGCTCGAGCCGTTTCAGCAGCGGAGCGTGCCACGTCAGCGGCAGCGGGCACTGCCACAGGCTGAGTCACAGCAGTCGTGGGGGCAGCGGGCGCAGGGAAACGCAGGGCGGAGGGAGGGAGGGTACTTTTGTTGCTAGCAGTGGGGACAGTGGTAGCGATGGTAGCAGTAACACTTGCAATAGCAACGTGACGATTCGCGAAAGGGGAGATTCCGGGACCATGATAGGAAAGCACGAGGAAGGGACGACTGGACATTTGCTGCTGCTGAAGCAGAGCAGCCAAGGTGAATCCGCTCACTATAACGGGGATGCAACCGCTCCCTCTAACGCGGATAAACCCGCCCCCATTAACGGGCGCGGCGGCGCGCCTGTCTTCCTGCGTTCGCGATCCGCGCGCCATGCGCACGTGATTGTACACGAGGCCCTCGAGCCGCGCCTGGAGGTGATTGTGTGGAGCGTGCGCGGGAGATTAAAACCCAAGGAGCGGCTCGAGTGCTACCCGGACGCGCCTCGGGCGTATCTTGTGAATCACTGCCAGGGGGAGAGACCAGGAGGGCGGAGAATGGCGGACTTAGGGGGCAGCGGAGAAGGGGGCAGGGGAGGGGGAGCGGGAGGGGGAGGGGGAGGTGAGAGAACCGGTGCTGCTGGTGTGGGTGGGGGGGGATTGGGGGGAATCGGGGGAGCGGGGGTAACCGGGGGAGCGGGGGGGATTGGGGGAGCGGGGGGCCGGAGGATGAGCGCGCGGGAGAGTCTTTTGAGTGAGCTGTCAGACGCGCTGAGGGGCGTGGAGGAGGGGGAGATAGGCGAGACGCGGGTGGTATCGCGTCACCAGCGCACGCGGAGAAACTCTCGATCCACATCGTCCCTGGAAGTCAATCTGACGGCCGAGGACCTTCCGCTGGCTCTTGGCGGTGGTTTTGCTGGTTTTGCCGGTGCTGGTACTGCTAGTGTTGGTGTAGGTGGTGCTGCTGTTGATAGTGCTGCTTCTGCCACTGCTGCTTCTGACACTGCCACCCACCCAAATGCTGTTGCTACTGCTGCCGCTACAGTCGCTGCTACAGCCGCCTCTGACGCTGCTACAGCCGGTGCTACAGCCGCTGCTACAGCCGGTGCTGCAATTCGTGGTGGCAGGGGCGCGTTCGTGGGGGGTTACTATCACGCGCCGCGCACCATAGCAGGCATGGATGTGTGGGACGATGATGATTCGTCGTACGGTGACCTGCCAATCGGTGTCTCTGGTCGCATCTGCTCTGCGGTAGGCTTTGGGGCCATGGCGAGAACAGCGGATGCAGAGGCAGGGGCAGGGGGAGGGGCAGGGGGAGGCGCAGGCGAGTTGGGATTAGGGTTGGGGGATGTGAGGGTGTCACGGTCGTTCCCCGCGCCGTGTGCCCTTGCTGCCAGTGACTCGTGCCCTGCTCCCCCGCTTCCCAAGAGCAGACTACACGCAAGTCAGGGGGGTGCTGTGAGTAGCGAGACTGGCGCTGGCGCTGGTGCTGGTGATGTTGCCTGCACGGGTAGGCTCAGCAGTGGCAGCACTGTCAGCAGCATCGCCAGTATAATCAGCACCGGCAGCACCACCACCATTGGCAGCAGCAGCAGCAGCAGCAGCAGCAGTCAATACGAGCCCAACCCGCTCTCTCACCCATTGACTTTTTCCATGCCTTTCCCCTCCAACCCACTCGCTCACTCTCCCGTCCCTCTTCCCCCAAACATAAACCACTCCTTCCCTTCCCCTCTCTCCGCCTCCCTCCCTCCCCAACCCTCTCTCGCGCCTAAGCCCTCCCCCTTCCCCTCCCCTTCCCCCTCCCATCTCTCCAAACCCCCCCTTGCCCCTCCATCGGCCACCGCCTCCCCTTCTCCTTCCCCTTCCCCGTCCCCTTCCCCTTCCCCCTCCCCTTCCCCTTCCCCTTCCCCCAACGCCCTTCCTCCCCACTCCCCTTTCCCCCGGATGCCAAACCCCCGCATCGCGTCCCCTCTCGCCCCTGCTCCTCCCTCTGCTTCCCTTCCTACTGCTGCTCCTCCCACTGCTGCCATGCTCCCCCCACTCCATCCCTCCGCCGCCCCACCTGTTCCCCGCCCGGCTGCGGGATCTGATTACGAATCGTGGGTGGTGGATAGCAGCGCTTGGGGGGCAGCAAGTGGGGAGTGCCGCCCGGGTGCAGATGGTGCGGGGATGGGTGCAAGTGGTGTGGGGATGGGTGCAGATGGTGCGGGGATGGGTGCAAGTGGTGTAAGGATGGGTGCACCTGCTGGAGGGATGGCAGAAGGGGCAGTGGCAGCAGCAGGGGCAGCAGGAGGGGCAGCAGCAACACCATATGCACCAACCTCGCACCAAGCACTGGCTTATATTGGCCTGCAAGAGTATCACCAGGGGAGCACGCCTCAATTTCAACAATCATATATCGGCCCGCAAGGGTACTATGAGGATGAAGGGGAGGAGGATGAGTATGGCGCACCTGTTGATGCGGATGGTAACCGGGTAACCGGTAATCCGGCCCCTCTGCTGCCGCTCTCTGCCCCGGTTTACTCGCCCTACCCTCCCTTTCTTTCCTCAGCCGCTCAATACAGTAACACTGTGTATAACGGACCTGTCTACAGTGATGCCGGCTACAGTAACGCTGGTTATGGCGAGGGGGGAGCAAGCGGGCAAGAGGGCGACAAGGGGAGTGAGGGGCAGGAGGGGAAGGAGGGGAAGGAGGGGAAAGAGGGGCGATCAAAGCCCAAGAGCTTGCATGTGAGGCATGTGTCTATGGACGGGCAAGGGGAGACAGATGCTTCGGACTCTGCTTGTGCCGCTGGGATGGGTATGGATGGCATGGGTGCCGCTGGGTCGGCTGGTGCTGGGGGTGGTATCCGGGTTAAATGGGCACGACGGGGGCTGGGGACGAGTGTAGGCAAGGGAGGAGGAGGCGAGGGGAGGTTTGGAGGAGTGCACGTGCCGTGGGGGGTGCGGGGGAGTCGGGCAGGGGGAGGAAGGGGAGGGGGAGGGGGAGGGGGAGGGGGAGGGGGAGGGGGGAGGGGAGGGGGGAGGGTGAGGGGATCGGGGCCAATTCTGAGAAATGCATGGAGAATGATTAGAAGCAGCTCGCTTAGCGAGAGGCAGGGTGAAGGGGACGATGCCAACGCTGCTGCTGCCGCTGCCGCTGCTGCTGGTGGTGCCGGTGCGGCTAGTGCTGGTGGTTATGGTCCCGGTGGTGGTGCTTTTACTGCTGCTGCTGGTGGTGCCGGTGGTTCTGCTTCAGTAGGGAGTGCTGCGACTGCCTGTGATGGTGGGATGCTGCTGGGAGGGGAGCGGGAGCGGGAGGGCGGGAAGCGGTGGTTGCTGGGAGGTGGAGGGGGGAAGGGTTTGTGGAAGGGTGGACTGAGGGTGAGAAGGGAGGGGGGGGAAGGAAGTGGGCATGGGGGGAGAGGGCTACACCACGGTTCACAACACCATGGGGGTATGTTACAGGGTACACCTCCGGTTACACCGCCTGGTGTGCCTACTCCAGGAGGAGCGTTTTAAGCGAGGGTGATTACACCAGGAAAGCACATTGGGCTAGGGTGACTACAACAGGAGGAGCACACCTGATCTGGGTGACTACACAGTGATGAGCGCATTGGATTGAAATGACTACCGGGAGATTCACTACAGTGGACTTGATTAGGGTGTGATGGTTACATTTTGGGTGAGTGTCGCATCGTGCGACCTAACTTAGAGGCAGACACTTGTGTTTTGAGTGTAAGTCGGTTTGCTGTTGGGGTGAGTGGGATACATGTACCACTGTCACAGTTTACTGTACCATGGTGTTTGCGCAGGCAAAGTGTGCCACATGATTGTTTGTTAGTCATATTTCAGGCAATACAGCAATGCTGTTGGCGTTGTTCTCTTTGAGATTGTGGTGACACTTTGAAATGTGCACTTTTCTCTTCAGGTGAAAGCATACCGTATAGCGTATGAGGTGAGCTGATGATGTCAGAATCAAGCAGCAGGAAAATGGTGAACTATGGAAGAGTTGGGTACAAATGTCAAACCCTAGAAGGGGTTGTACCCCATATTGGCTACCCCACTACAGCCTAAGCATGTATAGCATACATAATCTGACACACCCCCATAGGCAAAGTGGGGGAGAGCAAGGGGTCACAAGGCCAGTCAAGAGAGGCAAAGCAAGCTCAGGGTGGATCACAACGTCACCACACACTCTGAGCACAAGCAAAGGGCCACAAGGCCAGTTCACATGCAAAGATATATATGCAACAACAGCAGTACAGTGATCTCTACCTAACAGAGCAAGCAAGTAGGTATAGATATATAGATCACAGTACAAGCAGAGTCTACAGCAAGTGAGGAAACGTGGGCACAAGGCCAAGCAAGGTACAAAAGCGCTGATGATCACCAGGCGAAAGTGCCTTGGTGAATATATCAGCAGTGTTGGCCCGAGTGGCCACGTAACGCAGACGAAGCTGACCACGCTGCTGCAACTCTCGAGCCAGGAAGTAACGCAGAGCGATGTGCTTCGTTCTGTGCTCCAGTCTGTGCTCCTCACACAAGGCAATGGCAGCCTTGTTGTCGACGTACAGCACTGGAGGAGAACGAGGCCGCTCTCCCAGGTCGGTCAGCAGGTAGGTGAGCCAGCGTAACTCCTGTGCAGCCATGGCTGTGGCGTAGATCTCAACCTCACAACTGGAGCTGAGAACTGAAGACGAGCGTGTAGAACGCCAAGAAACTGAACCGGAGCCAAGGCTGAAGGTGTAACCCTGTGACGACCGCTTAGTAGCCTGGTCGTCAACCCAAGAAGCGTCTGAGTGCCCAGTGAGGACAACTGGGCTCTTCCCTCCAAGCACTAGCCCCATGCCTGATGTGCTGCACAAGTAGCGCAGTACCCTCTTAGCGGCAGCCATGTGCTCAGGTCGGTGCCGACCAGGAGCCACGTAGCGAGCCAGCAGACCAAGAGGGTACGCGAGGTCAGGTCGAGTGCAAGTCATCAGGTACATGAGGCAGCCAACTAGCTCTGGGTAAGGACCACTCGGCTCTACGGACTCGTCCGAAGGTGGAGCTGAGAGCGAGTGACCTGTAGCCAGAGGAGTGGCCTGTGCCGAGGACCAGGTGAAGCCGAAGCGCTGAAGGACCTGCTGCACCATGTGTGACTGAGTCAGTGTGATGGTGCGGCGTGCTCTGTCCTGGGTGATCCGCAAGCCAAGATAGCTTGTCAGCTCACCCAGGTCTGTGCACGTGTGTCTCTTCTGCAGCTCCGACTTCACGTGGGCGAGAGCCTCAGTGTCAGCAGTGGCAAAGACCAAGTCGTCGACGTACACGAGGATGTAGAACGGCGGCCGTGAAGTGTCGGTGCGCAGAAACAGCGACGAGTCAGCAGTAGAGGGCGCGAACCCAAGAACCGCAAGTGTAGTCCTCAGTGTGTCGTGCCACTCACGTGGCGCCTGGCGGAGACCGTAGACTGGCCGCCGGAGGCTCCACTGGGTACCAGGAGGAAACGACCCAGTGAAGCCAGGAGGGTGGCGCAGCCAGATCTCCTCGTGCAGACTGCCCTGCAAGAAAGCTGTGCTGAAGTCAAGAGAGTGAAGCTCGTAGTCACGCTGAGCGGCAACGTGCAGCAGCACCCGAAGAGTGGTCATCTTCGGGGTAGGGGAGAAGGTCTGGAAGAAGTCTACTCCCTCTCGCTGACTGAAGCCTCGAGCAACGTAACGAGCCTTGAAGACAGGCGGAGAACCTGGCGGCCGCTTCACCCTGAAAATCCACATGCCACTGACGATGTTCGCCCCAGGAGGGGGAACCTCGTCGACGTAGGTGCCTGTGGACTTCCAGGATGCCATCTCTGCATCCATGGCTGTCTGCCACTGAGAGGAGTACTCATCCGCGATCGCCTCAGCGTAAGAGCGCGGGGTCGGGATGTCTGGAGCATCCGGGTCTCCCTCAGGGGCAAGCAGCATGGACACGAGATGAGGTACAGCAGCGGCAAAACACTCAAACTCCTCCTGCCTGTCCTCAAGGACGTCCGTGCCAAGAGCACACTCACCCCCGACGGACGGAGGACAGACAGACTCAGACTCAGCAACAAGACTAGCGGCGTAGTCTAGACGACAGGCAGCAGCAAAGTCAACTAGCTCAGCTACCAAGGCAGACGCAACAGCAGACTCAAACGACGGGTCAGTGACAACAGTGGCTAGCAGACGCGTGACAGTAGAGTGAGCAGCACGGGTGCGGTCAGACTCAGGCTCAGGGACGGTAGGTAGAGAAGACGCAGGAGGGGAAGGCAGGGGAACACGCTGCGGAGGAGAGGAAGGACGACGGACGACAAGACGGGTGCCGGGGACAGCCGGCTGACGCGAACGAGGGACACTACGACCGGAACGACGAGACTGAACAGGCGAAACAGGACGCGACGCAGGCTCACGACGCTCAGTAAGACCCCCTGACTGCTCAGTATAAGGAGAAGGAGCAGGCAGTGGTGAGCGAGGCTGTAACGGAAGACCAGTAGACGAAGGGAGACTAAGAACCTGGCGAAGCACAGAGCCAGGCGGTGGCTGAGACGACGAAGACGGTGGAGCGAAGAACAGGCGCGGCTGTGCAGGGCTACCAGCACCAGCAGCTCCAGCACCCCCAGCAGCTCCAGCACCTCCAGCAACTCCAGAACCCGCAGCGCCAGCTCCTCCAGGACCAGCTCCACCAGCAGCAGCACCCCGAGAACCAGCACCTCCAGTCCCAGGGTCTCCAGCCTCAGTGTCTCCAACAGTAGCACCCATAGCTCCAGAACCTCCAGCTCCAGGGCCACCTGCGCCAGCACCTCCAGCAGCTCCAGAACCCTCAGCGCCAGCTCCTCCAGGACCAGCTCCACCAACAGCAGCACCCCCAGAACTGGCACCTCCAGTCCCAGGGTCTCCAGCCTCAGTGCCTCCTGCAGCAGCACCCTCAGAATCAGCACCTCCAGCCCCAGCAGCTCCAGTACCTCCAGTACGAGCACCTCCGGGACCAGCACCACTCCCAGCTCCAGTGACGACAGCAGAAGTACCTCCAGCGGCAGAGCCCCGAGCTCCAGAAGCGCGACCCTGACGGCGACCGTACCAGTCGTGCAGCTGCTGCGAGGTGAGAGGCACACGCGGACGAAGGCGGCCACTCCAAGGAAGCCGCGCAACAGCAGACTCAGAACCCGCAGCGCCAGCACCCTCAGCAACTCTAGAACCTCCAGCGCCAGCGCCACCAGCGCCAGCACCTCCAGTAGCTCCAGAACCTCCAGCTCCAGCACCCTCAGCAGCTCCAGACCCTCCAGTAGAAACAACTCCAGTGGCAGAGTCACCAGCTCCAGCGCCTCCCGCAGCAGGGCCCCTAGCTCCAGCAGTGCGACCCTGACGGCCAGCGTACCACTCAAACAGCTGCTGTGGGGAGAGAGGGAGTCGACTACGAGAGTGCAGCGGCGAGGCACCAGCGGAGCGACTACGGAGACGGCCGCTCCCGGGAGACTGCTCACTAGACGCCTCAGCGCCCCCAGGCTCAGCACCTCCAGTCTCCGCACCCCCAGGCTCCGCACCCCCAGGCTCAGCACCCCCAGGCTCCGCACCCCCAGGCTCAGCACCCCCAGGCTCAGCACCCCCAGCAGCAGCACCACCCTCAGCAGCACCTGAGTCACCAGTGACCTCAACCTGAGGGGGAGGGTCTACCTGAGACACACCTGAAGGAGCAGGACCGGGAGCGGGGAGGGGGTCTACCTGGGTAGCACCTGGAGCGAGGAAGAGCGGCGGGGGGGGGAGAGGGGCAGTGCGGTAGGGGAAGAGACGGTAAAAGGGAACCGACTCATCGAACGTGACGTCCTGAGAGGGGAAGACACGGCGCGAGGTGGGGTGGTAGAACTGCCAACCAGGCGCGTCAGGGACAAAGCCAAGGAAGACACAGGGAACAGCGCGGGCGGAGAGCTTGTCCGCGGTAGTATCGCGGACAAAGGCACGAGAACCCCAGACCCGGAAACGCGACGCATCGCCAACCTTCCCCGTCCACAGCAGTGTGGGCGAGGTCTCCGGAGCGAAGACACGGGGCCAGAGGTTG